AATAGAGTTAATTATATAAGAAGTCAATATATTAGATTTGTGAGTTCTTATCGAAATATATCAATTTTCTTGAACCGGTTTATGAACCGAATTTTAAATTTTAGCGTTCCGGCAAAAAAAAATATTAGCACAACACCACTGTATATACGAGATATATATATATTCAATATATTAAATATATACTAACATATATATTCAAATATATATATATATATATATATATATTATAATAACTGCACAATTCAATTTATCCCTCCATGGGCCTTCGTTACTTTTAGATTTCATCCAAAATTTTTTGATATTTTTCCAAATTATTATGTTTTTTGTAAAATGACGCATAAATCTGAATTCTATAATGCTGTTAAGATATCAATATTCTCAATATGTCCTTTTCTAAGCCTTTCAACCTGAATTAACATTTTCATACACAGAAGCGCAAACATTATATGCCGCTGTGATCTTAATATCACTGAATTCATTAATACAAAAAAAATGTTTAAATATTTTGCTTGTAATTTCTGTTTATCTTTTTTTTAAATAAAACAAAAATGCGGTTCATTAAGGATTAATTCATCAAAATGAAAGTCAAAGAAAAATCATGAACTACATATTTTGCAACTAATGTGAAACAAAAAGTTAAAAAAAAAAACATGAATATAATCTTACAGTTACAGTAATAGAATGTAAATGTAGATTTTAATTTGTTTCAATATTTATGTAAATAGATAAAATGTCCATTTTCGTATAATGCATGTAACCAAAGTATTCTATTCAGCAGAGTGAAATTAAGTTTTGAAAATGTTTCAAAAAAATCAATTACCACACAATAAAAAAAATAAAAATTTAATAACTACATATTATAACATTGAGCTTTAATAATATCTCCAAACAAATGAATATGCATAAGCATATATATGTGTGTATATTAGAAGTGTGACGGTATATGCATATGTATAAATGTATACATAACTAAATAAGTGGAATAGAATTTAAGTTTAATTTATATATGTAAATGGCTAATGTACAAGCTTATAAGGTCAATAAACTAATAAAAAATCCAAACAAATCACTAGCAATTTCTGTGAATTTAGTTATATGACCACTGCAATTGAATAATGAAAAGTGTAAAAAACGATTTTCTATAAATCATTAAACGTTTTTGTCTTTTAAATACATTTATGATTAAAAAAACATTTATTAAAAAATCAATTTGTATGTAAATTTATTTGACCATAAAGATTACATAATAGTCTGAACTATTTTTTACAACTCCATTTCAACCTTCATCCATATCGCTGGGTAATAAATAATTCAAAAGCACAAGTGCGTCATCGGGCAAGTTAGTAATTGAAGAACAATTTGATTATTTAATGAACCTTTCAGTCGACAAATATTTTTATAAATCTTTTAACTTACTTTTAGAAGTAAACGATGTTTCATGAGATAAGATCAATAAATAAATAATACGTTCCATTCAAATTGGAACATTCGTCATTATTGTTTTTGCGATTTCACATTACATTAACATGTATTAATTTATACATTTTTTGAATTTAATAATTTTCACTTTATATTTAAAGTACCGAAATGTTTTGAGATTAGGAACGGCACTGATTTTAACAAGCGGGACGCTGAGCAAGATTTCTAAAAACATTTAGATAGAATCGAGTGGGGATAAAAACGTATCAAAGTCTACTGCGACGTCTATTACGTGGACGTACTAACGATGGTGATAACTAATTGATTCATAATTTAACGATATTGCTATTATTGAGAAATAAATTGCTTTAACAATAAAGTAATAGTGTTATTATTTTATTAAAATTGTTGCACAAATGATTGTTTTTATTTTCAGAAAATATTAACTCTGATCATCAACTAACGTTCTTATCTGCCCCTGTTAATTGGATCAAAATTTATTATGTTGTTAACAAGAACATGAACAAGGATTTCGCAAAAAATATTATTATTCAGCTATATAATCATAGTAATAAAGAATTTATAAAGTGTTAAAATCATCGTTACTTATAATTAGTAATTTCAAAAGACAACCGATATAGGAAAGTACTATACCTATAAGACAGACATAGAATCATATGTCGAAACGTGTGGAATCATAAAGAATCGTTTAGTTTTTATTTAAGCTATGTCTGAAGATTTTATACAGCAATTTATTATATAAATGATAAATGTTCTGATAAAACAAAAAGATTAACAGGCATCCATTCAGATAATAACATATAAAGAAAACTAATATATATTTCTTAAAATTTATTTAATCGATCCTAACGTTTAGAGTCCCAATTTGACTCTTCCTCAGTGGAAACAATGTAAATAAAACACATGTATAATAAAATAAAAAATAATACACAAGTATATGTTACAATGCAAAATATGGAAATACTAAAGTCCGCATTTCAACTACGAATTATTCAAAATTTCAGTTTCCAAATATTAATAATCCTACGGGCTTATTGAGTGATGTATATGATAATCATATATATGTATATAATGCAATAAATGTGTTTACAATTTTTTATTTTATTTTATGCAAAGTTGTTTACTTACATTTTACTATTTTACAAGAATGATATCTGTATTAATTTTCAAATGCAATATTAAAATCTAATATATATGATTATGGTCATAATTTTTACTTTTAATGTTCGTTAATCCAATATATTATTTTAAAGAGCAAAAGAAGGGTCAACCTTGTTGGTGTTTTTGAGAATTTTTTCTCCAATTCTGTGTCTTCAATGGCTTCCCAAGAAGCTCCACAGTCCACACCCTTATGAAATAGTTAAAATTCTAACAGTACTAACAAGCAGAAGGTAAAATCATTCGTTGCAGTTTCATTTAATAATTTTTTTTAGTTTTTCTAAGATTTTTTATTGCATTTAATATTTAAAATATATATATACATTCTATAAATTTGCAACATAAATATCAATCTTCATTTGAAGATAGCAAAACAATTATTTAAACTATAATGAATTCACATAACTATTACTTTAATATAAACAATAATAATTATGTAGCAAACCAAAAGTAAGTAGCATTTTCTTTTGAACTTTCAATTAACTAATTAAAATTCAATAACGTTTTTAACATATTTTAATTTAAAAGCATGATTGTTAATAGTCAGTATAGTCTTTTTTAGTTATCTGAAATTTGAAATATTTTACTTTTTACATTTAAATTGTTGGAACTATTTTTAAAAAATAAAACTAACATTAAAAATCAAATGGTAAATTACATTCACGAAAAATTATAATTGAGATGTTTACGGTTGCGAGAAATTCAATGTATAAATAAATTAAAATGTATTTCTATTTCATAATTATTCTGATACATTGCTACTCTACATGCTTTGTAAAACAGAAAATCAGATGAATATCAAAAAATATCTGAAATTTATAAAAATGCATTGGTAATAAAAAACCTAATCAGTTCTATTTAAAACGTTTCGAACAAGGAATAACTTGTGTTACTAATATAAGTCATAACCATAATAATACATAGGCATAATAGAAGTGTTTTTAATATGAAAAATATTAAAAAAATAATCCGCCCGAACAGGGACTTGAACCCTGGACCCTTGGATTAAAAGTCCAATGCTCTACCGACTGAGCTATCCGGGCTTGTGTTAGTAACCGCCTCGCCCATTTAAATATTATGCGCCTCAGTTGTGCTATTAGTATCGCACGGCAAATGTAAATTTATATATGATTTAATAATTTAACCAAAAATTTACGGCTTTATTCGTTATAATAACTTGACTCTTTCCACTCTTGGTGTGTCTATAACAAATTACATTTAAATATATCAAAGTGCAAAAATTTTAGTTTTTCACATAAGCGCGTTCCAATACATTCGTTCCAACACCAGCCTTGATAGATGTAATAAAATTTCAGATTTAGGAGTTCTATTTGATTCTGGTTTGCTTTTTACTGATCATTTAACTGATATTTGTAATAGAGCACATAAATCTTTAGGTTTGATACTGAGAAATTGTAAACAATTCAATTCTAACAATGCACTTCTTTGCATGTACTATTCTAATGTACGTTCAAAATTAGAATATGGTTCGATTATTTGGTATCCTCATCAAATCAAGAAGCTTCAGCAAAAATTTCTGAAATATCTTTATTATAAAACACATAAAATTTACCCTGAACGTGGCTTTGACTATAACATTTTACTAAAAGAATTTGGTTTTCCTTCCCTTGCCTCACGTCGATATCTGTACAATTATGTTCATATTTAAACTTTGCAATAATTGTATAGACCAGGCTTGGCACGCGAAGGGATTCTGAATGGCACGCTACAAAGGAATTAGGAAAATCGCAAATATATCGAGACGAAGTGATTTTTAAATAAGAGAAAATGTTGAAAATAAGAGAGAAAGTTTGATTATAATGTGGATCGCTAATTTCATGAAAATCTGCGCGAAGGTTGATGAGACCGCATTCGGAGTAAAAGGGATGAAACATGTGCAGTGCCGAGTAGTTATCGAAGCGGCCTTCACGAAGCTGAATGTTGGAGTATCACTCGCCCCCCTCTTTCTCGTTTATCAACTGCGAGTTGAATTTGAAACGCACCATTTGCTTGTGTGCTTGTGCGGTGGGCTTAAACTTGCGCAGTTAAACTTGCATTTCGTTTGGTCGCTACTTTTCGTTCTAACTTTTTTTGTGAAGACTTGTATCTTATTGATTTTATATTTGTTATAATTCATTCGTATTTAATAAAATGGAGAGTAAGAAACAAAAATTAGATGTTCGCGGTTTTCAAGACTGTTGGACGAATGAATATGGATTTATATAACAAAAGGATCGTGCTGTATGTGCGATATGCCGCGAAAGTGTAGTATGCCGCACGTCAAGTGTACAAAGACATTTCCAAACCAAACATCAGTCCACATTTAATAGCAACGATGAGAAATGTGAAACTATAAAGAAAGCTGTTTCTTGTTATAAGAAACAAATAATTTTTTTTGTGGAATGACTGGAACGAAGGCTAAAGCGACAGAATGCAGCTTCGCAATTGCTCATTGCATAGCTGCCAAAGGCAAACCCTTTACAGATGGAGAATATATAAAGGAAATTTTTATAAAAAGTGCTGAAAAGTTGTTTAGCGATTTACCTAACCAACAAACCATATTATCCCGAATTCAAGAAATACCGGCTTCTGCGCGAACAATTGAAAGAAGAATAACTGAAATGGCAGACAATGTAACAACAAAACAGAATGCTGGATTACAAGAAGCTGTTTCATTTAGTGTTGCTGTTGATGAAAGTACCGACGTAAATGATATTGCGCGACTTGCAGTATTTGCACGGTATTGTGATAAAGATCAAGTTTATGAAGAATTGTGTACTTTGATTCCTCTGTCTGGGACAACTAAGGGGGAGGATATTCTTTCTTCATTCATAAGTTATTTTGACAGCAAGAACATTAATGTCAAAAAAATATTTTCTGTAACTACTGACGGCGCAGCTGCAATGATTGGCAAAGATAGAGGATTTGTCAAACTTCTTGAAAATCATATTGGACATAAAATATTGAACTTCCATTGTATAATACACCAGGAAAGTTTAGTTGCCAAAATTTCATCACAGCGCTTAATTCCTGTAATGAACACTGTTGTTAAAATAGTTAATTTTATAGTGTCTCGCTCTTCACTAACACACAGACAATTTAAATCTCTTTTAGAAGAAATGGAAAGTGAATATGTTGACCTTCCCTCATACAGCCATCGTTGGCTTAGTCGAGGCAATGTCTTAAATAAGTTTGTGTCATGTCTGGAACCCATCAAAGTTTTTCTTAACGAAAAGGAACAACATTTCCCCGAATTGAACGATGAAGAATGGTTAGGCAAATTAATGTTTCTGACCGATGTAACAAATCATCTAAGTGAACTAAACTTGAAATTGCAAGGAAAGCGCCAAACAGTGCTCGAATTATTTGAATATTGGACAGCATTTGCGTCAAAATTAAATATTTTTACGTGATATTAACACGAGCACCTACAAATACTTCCCAAATGTGAGAGCGCTTGCAAATGAATCGACCGTAAACAACAATGAACTCAAAACCTACGTTGAAGCACTTAAAGATGAATTTTGCAAAAGATGCAAAGATTTTGAAGCTTATGTGCCTATATTTTCCTTCCTCATACAGCCAGATTTAGATTCATCAACAATACCGTTCGATTGTCCAATTTTCGAGTGGATGAATGTTGATAATTTCGAAATGGAAATTATCGAACTAACATCGTCAGAATTATGGAAAACAAAATTTAAAGAACTACAAAAAAATCTAGAAGATGACTCTATAGAAAAATCGACGGTCATATTAAATTGTTGGATGTCATTGCCGGAAAGATTTATTTGTTTAAAGAAAATTGCATGCGCTCTCCTTTCAGCTTTTGGTTCCACATATCTTTGTGAACAAATTTTTTCACACATGAAAAATATTTTGAGTTCACAAAGAAGTCGTTTAACAACTGAACATTCAGAATCATGTGTGAAATTAAAAGTAACAAATTATACCCCGGATATTGAATTGTTAAGCAAAAATGTACAGGGACAAGGTTCACATTAAAATTGTTTAGTTTATGTTAGAATTGTAGGTTATTTGTTAATAAATATGTTTAAAAGATAAATTTGGTTTTAATTCATCTCTCCTAGAACCTAATTATATATTTCAGAATCAGGGGCGTAACTACCGCCGTATCAGCCATATCAGCCCCAAGCCAGGGGGGCCCCCAACGTCCGTAAGCAAATATTAATAATAAAAAAATTATTTCACAAAAAGCGAATTAATCGTGAAAAATTTGTTCAGTGAAATTTAATTTCATTAAGATGTAAAATTATTGTTTTAAAGTGTATTTTTCCGGGCCATGGGGGCCCAACCTGCCCAAATATTAATAGAATCTTACGAATTTTTATCTTATTTTACAAATAACAAAAGTTAAAATAATCATGAAAACTTCCTTGCAACTAAATTTAATTTCGAATAAAACATGAGCGTGTAAAATGTAAAAATATAAAGAGAGTTGCGATTGCGATAGAATAGAAAACTAGCATTTTATTAAGTCATTTTGTGCAAATTAAAAAATTAAAATTAATTCAGCAGTTTGCTAAATGTCTCGAAAAATTATCAAAGGAATGGAGCGTAAACGACTGTTTTCAAAAACAAAAGGCAAAGTATAGCAACCCGTAATCTTGTTTCAAACTCAACATATACTATTTATAAATATACATATGAATTTCTGAAATTAAACAAAGATCAGAGACTTCGACTCAATTAGTATGTTCGAATAATTACAACTTGAGTAATTTAGCAAAAACACCTGTCTTCATGAAACTTTCGTCTAAATACAGTAAGATCATCTCTGTTAATTTTTATAACTAATTGTAAACACTCGAAAAATATGTCTAAAATATGAAAATCAATATTTATTATATCGCTGTCAAAATTCAATACTTTTGCTTAAAATTTTCCCGAAGTAATTTTTGCATACAATTTACCCAGTTTCAACCGCAAATGCTGAAAAAAGTTTTTCAAAAATAAAACTGATACAAAATTAGCTAATTAGTTGTAAGTCTTAGGAAACTTTGCTTGTATTTCCCGATATGTGTAAATAATCGACACAATCAATAAGAATTTAGATTTATTCCAAATTTTTTGATTTTTTAAAAGAAAAAGAGGTCCGGGGGATATAATCCGAACAGTTCTTGATTTTGAAACGAGGGCGAAAATTTTAGCACTCTTCTCCTAATTTCGAGAAATCGGCTCAGCCTATCGTTGTAAACAAACATTTTCTGGCAAAAAAATTTGAACATTTCTTTCAGGAAGTTAAATACTTCTATGATACACAAACAGCACTCAGATCATTATTGTTCATAGAAGCAGAAACTTTATCCCCAAAAAAATTTTGATACAGGGCCCCGCCAATGCACGCTACGTCCTTGTTCAGAATTAAGGCGGCACTCTGAATCATATTGGTACAGTGGCTTGGCACACCACAGTTAAAAGGTTGCCGACCCCTGGTATAGACTGTCCTCTTATTCTTAACCAACTATATTTTAATGTTCCAAGGCTATCTACGCGTCAACAATTATTTTTCAATTATCCTACTCCTAAATCTAATTCTCTCTTAAATTCGCCTATTTTACTTATGTCCTCTAACTTTAACTTAATAATGAAAAAGATATTCACAACACTTCGCCTAATCAAATAATCTCCATCTGCACAAGTTACCCTTTTTATTTTCTTTTCAAAAATCTCATTATTTAATATTATTCTGTTTATAAATAATATTGTTACATTCTGCATTATATGTACATAATTATATGTTAAGCATTTTATATTGTAATTTTGTTTATATCTTTATTGTTATTCATTATGCAAAATAATTGTATTTTTGAGTCCTCTTGGAAGAAATCTGTGGCCTATATATTTAAAATAAATAAATAAAAAAATAAATAAATAATATCTATATTTCAATATCTCACTCACTGGTGAGAGAATGGATGCACGTCTTAGTGCGGATACAAATTTTCGTCGACGATTTTTGGAACATGGATCAATCGATTTGAATAATTTAAAAAACATTCGATTCGTATTTATAAGGAGATGTGCTGATTAGTTTTTAGCAAAGGCAGGTCCAGCCGTTACGATTACGAAGATACAGGGCAAAAAGTTCCAAAAACGGTTTCTCACTTTTTAAGAGAACGGAGCGTCCGATTTTAATAATTCAAAAAGAAATTTTACTTGTATTGACAAGATGAAGAACTGATTTTTGGGAAGGCAGGTCTAGCGGTTTCAGAGATCTAGTAAAAAAAAGTAAAAAAGATGATCATTAGACATATGTACATTAAATTATCAGATATTTAATAGAGATTTTAATAATGTGTTTCAATTTCGTTTACATTTCTATGGGTTCCGTAACATTGTTTGTCTGGCGCTTACGCGCTTCGATAATTCATCTCTGTGCAGCTAAAGCAATGCAATTGCTTTGGAAAAAAGTTCAACATTTGCAAAATATTTCAAAATAAAAAAAAAACATTTTTTTCCTAAAAAAGTCATTTTTTTTTAAAATATAAAATTTCTCAAAAATCATTTTTTTAAAAGAAACAATTTAATCTTTTTTATTTAACAAAAACTTTTCGTACGGGAAGTTTCAGCAATTTGCCCCTTACGTTACGCACGATGCCATACACCACTACAACTGCAACAAAATGTTTTACCTCGCGCTTGTCAATACTGCTAGAAATTTCACTATATATACGAGGTCGGTTATTCGATACATGGGTCTGGCGCTTCTCGGGGAACTGATGAAATTAAGGTAAATGAATAGAATTCCAAAATTAGCGTAATTAAAATGATCGAAAGATCGATGATCAAGAGAAGAAATTCTCAAAATTACCGCAGAAGCAAAGTTGACCCTTCTTTTGTTCTTAATTTTTTTGAAATTAACGGACATTAGATAACAAATATTTTAATATACGGAAATAGACTGAAATTGAGAAATTTCAGAAGTTTCTGATCATTTTGGCATACCTTAGAAAAAATGGATGAATGTGTGTGTGGTTGAAAAATAGTTCAATTTTTTTAAAAAAATCTAAATATGAAAAACTCAAATTTTCCATAGAAGACATTTTTAAAAATTTCTAAATTCTCAAAAATCTATTTTTTTCAAAATTTTCAAAAAATCTAAAGATTTTTTAAACAATTTAATTTTTAATACGGAAAGTTACAGCAATTTGTCTTAAGATACGATGCCATGCACTCCTAGTATAGAAAGAAATCTCATTAAATATATCAAAATCTGAACATTGTGAATGTTTTTGGGATGCTTTGAGTAATATAAAAAAAATCTTATGAGTATCTTGACTCACTAAGAAACAAATTATACTGTTTAGTTAAATTGTTCCTCTCATGAATATTTAATAATTAAGTGCTAATTTTTAAATACTCAAAGTCAATATTATATGTTTGACGCCGATCAACTTGCTTATTATTGTGGCAGGTCAGTCTAATGAACAATGATTTAGGACCATCTGAATAAATATGCATATATCAACATCAACTTATACATATACATATGCGAATATTCAAACAAAACATCTCAAATCTTGTTTATTAAAGCTGTCTAGACGCCACAGTTGGGCAAGTCTACTACAACATAAATTATTTTTTATAGTAGAGCTGAGGGAATATTTACTACGTAGTTATAACAATTTACATTTTTAAACCCGTTATTATTTTTATTATCAAAAATTTAAATGAATGAATCTACATATTTATTTTATAAAATAAATGTGAAAATTACTCTTTGAACAGTTTTCAAGTGTTTCGATAGTTTTGACTATCAGGGCAAAATTTGAACAAACAGATGGCTGATTCTGCTGTAAAATAGACCAATGTCATGCCAAGGCTATTTTATTCTGCGTTTTTGCATATAAAATGGTATAAAAAGATTGTATTTAGATTTTTTTTGAAAATTTTGGACTATTTTTGTTTTAGACTACAAGAAATTGCCTATAATAGACTTGATATAAAAAACTTAAGTGCGTTTTTCTGATGTCTCATGAAATAAATACATGAGAGAAGTTAAATTTTATGTGTAAAACGTTTGATCACAGCAAATACATAGCATTTTGGCAGTTTTTAGTACCATTTTATATAAAAAATGCAACGTAACATAGCCTTGCCATAATTGGTTTATTTTACGGCAAAATAATCAGCCCCTATGTCCTAAATTCTATTCATAAAAAATACATAGTTAAAATACAAACTTTTAATATTAATTTATAAAAACTAATTTATAATAAAAGTATTTTTTATATAATTTTAATGACTCAAATGAAACGTTCTAATTCATAAATGAATTGAAATATCTTAATATTGCAAATTATATTAGATTTTGAAAGTCAATTATAAGAAACATATAGAACTGTCTGAAAGATATAGATTATTCGGATTATTCGAGCAAATAGTTTCTTCATAAAGATTTGAAACCGATCAAAACCGATTTTTTTGGGAAAAATACTATTCGAAAACGGGTTTTATAGAATGTTGGTTTTTGTATTAATTCCAATATAAATAGATACATAAACTTATATTAAAATTCTACTTAGTAAAAATTAAACATATAAATGAATTTCTAACCACTGAAATAATTATCACTAAAAATCCTAATTGCAATGTTATCACCAGAACAACAGAAATAATTGAATACAAAATAAAACAAGAAAATAATGATATATACTTAAAAAATGAAACGATAGTACATAGTTAAAATCATAAATGATAATTCTTATCTTATAATTTGTATTTTGCAATATAAGTAATATTAAGAAATACCGTTGTATATTGTTATTGAAGTTGCATTTTATATATGAAATGATTATAATTGAATGGTTATAAATGAATTCCCAATGAATCATTTTATAGGTTCATTTTACACACAAAATCTATTAATAAAATATTATATAAAATCTATTAAAAATAAAAATATAATTAATTAATAATTGAAGATATATAAAAACCCTACGGGAAGTTAATAAAAAGAAATTGTAATAATCTTGCATGCAAGGGTTTAATTTCTTCATTATGTTCTTAGTAATTATTTTGAGTGATGTATAGCATCGTCCTTAAGGCAAAAATGAGATTTTTGAGAATTTTGAAATAAAAAAAAAATGACTTTTTTGAAAAATTTGAGTTTTTTATATTTAGATTTTTTTTTGTAAATATTAAACCTTTTTTGTTTTAGAATACAAGAAACTGTCTATAATAGACTTGATGTAAAAAACTTGCATTCCATAGTCAATTGCTTATTAAGGCTATTAAACCATTGTTCCTTTTTTATTATTTATATATCTTATTATCTTTATCTCTTATTTTAATTATTATTTTTTTACGCGTATTTCAGCACTATAACTTCAAACACTGACAATAACTCTCATTGATGTATAATATTGAATGAATAAAATTGTTTTTTGTTGTATTTTCAATTGTCCTTGGTCGACGTTCAGTGAATTTAAAGAAAATATAGTTAAATCGCATATGATTTACATAGTAGACACGCCGTTGTGTGTTGCTACTATTTTTTTAGTTAATATTGAAAAATATTTATTGTTAGCAGTTTCTGCCTATTGTTTATTGAACTCTAAAATCTCTTACCTGTGTTTATGTTTACATTTCTGCTACCAGCACCCATTCAATATTGTTCTGAGGCACATCTCATCAAAATTTATTAAAGCCTAACACAAAACTATACATTTTTACTGATCACTATACACGATACATGATGTTGTACACTTTTGAGTTAGATTTCACATAGTTTTTATTCAACTAAGTGTCTAATACTAAACTTTTTATTTAATTTATTTTCATTGTAACACATGCAGCTGCCACGGAGTCGTAATAAGTGAATGCGCTTGCGTACTCTCTTGGAGAGGCATCATACATCAGTATGTATGAAAGTATGTATGTATTGCCATGCTATGCCAAAAAGTAAGAGATGAAAGTACAACTAGCTGTAAGTGGAATTCTGTCTTAAGGCAATTAAGGCATCGTGCCTTAAGGCAAATTGCTGGAACTTTCCGTACCAAAAATTATTATTTTTTTAAAAACGATTGACATTTTTAAAAAAAATTTACTTCGAAAAAATAAGATTTCGAGAAACTATAAATTGGACAAAAAATTACTTTTTTTTGAATTTTTTTTTTTTTTTTTAAAATATTTAATTTTTTTTTTAAATTTTTTTTTTAAAAATATTGTTTTCTTTATTTTGGCATATTTTGGAAGATCTGAACTTTTTTTCAAAGCGGCGTACTGCTTTAACTGCATAGAGACAAAATGTCAAAGCGCGTAACGCCGCGTCGCCGTCTAACGAATAAACATTGGTACGGAACCCATAGGAATGCAAACAAAATTTATACTTATTGTTAAAATCTCTATAAAATATCTGATAATTTGATGTGCATATGTCTAATGATCATTTTTGACCGCCAAATGGCATTTTTTTTCACTTTTTTTGTTAGATCTCCGAAACCGCTAGACCTGCCCTCATGAAAATTTGATCAGTTCTTCATCTTGTCAATACAAGTCAAATGTTTTTTGAATTATTAAAATCGGACGCTCCGTTCTCTTAAAAACTGAGTTACCGTTTTCGGCACTTTTTGCCCCGTATCTTTGGAACGGCTCGACCTGCCTTCGCCAAAAACTAATCAGCACGTCTCCTTATCAATACGAATCGAATGCTTTTTGAATTATTCAAATCGGTTGATCCGTGTTCTCGAAATCGTCGACGAAAATTTGTATCCGCACATACATACACACACGTACATACATACATACATACACACACACACACATACACACACACACACACACATACATCCATTTTTTCTAAAGTATGCCAAAATGTTCAGAAACCTCTGAAACGTAAAGATATATAAAAATTTTCATTTTCGATTTTTTTGCGATTACTATAACTTACCCTACGGGAAGTTAATTAAATATAAGCTTCGGCAACCTTTTACTAAAAATTATGTGAAATTTCTATAAATTCACTGAAATAAATTTTACTAGATATTTAACACGTGAATCGCCACGATAAAATCAGAAACTATTGATACATGGCATCGTGCTTTGAGGCAAATTGCTGAAACTTTTTGAAAAATTAGATTTTTTTAATATTTTGAAATATTTTGGAAATTTTGAACATTTTTTTCAAAGCAATCGCAATACGTTAGCTGCGTAGGAACGAAATATAGAAGCGCGCGGAATAACGAATATACATTGGTACGGAGCCCATAGAATTGTAAACAAAGTATGTTCTTATTATTAAAATATCCATAAAATAAGTGATAATTTAATGTGTATCTGTCTAATGATTAGCATTTTTGACCGCCAAATGGCATTTTTTCACCGTTTTATTCAATCTCCGAGGCAGCTAGACCTGCCTTACCAAAAACTTCATACAAATAAAATGAATTTTAAATCATACAAATCAGACGCTGCATTATTCTCTCAAAAAATCAATTACTATTTCTCGCACTTGTTGTATCTTCGTAACGGCTCGACCTGCCTTTGCCAAAAACTAATCATCATGTCTCCTTATAAATACGAATCAAATATTTTTTTAATTATTCAAATCGGTTGACCCGAGTTCCCAAAATCGTCAACGAAAAATTGTATACGCACACATACATACATACATACACACACGTCCATTTTTTTAATTTAACCTTAAAACATGCAAAAAATTTTATTTTAAATTTTTTTGCGATTACTATAACTTACCCTACGGGTAAATAAAATTCACATGGGTTTTTGAGAATGTTTTAGGGTTAATTTGAAAATTTTTCATACACGTATTTATCAGGACTTTTCACAGATTAATTTTTTTAAAGACCAGGCGCAATGTTTATTATATAAGTTAATAATTTCACTGAACACAGACACTACCTTGAAAGACCAGTTTTACATTATTATTAAATAATCTATATCAGACCTTTAAAACAACTGATTGAAAAATGATTAATTTAATATATAATTTGTATTTCTTTGTAAGATGTATATCGGTCAAGGATTAAATATAGAATGCAGGATTTTAAGAAAATTAATTTAATAAAGTAAATATATTTTTTGTAAAAACCAACAGCGTTGCTTCTGTGGTATTGTTGAGATTATTCTAGGAATAATTTCGACATTTTTCATTCATATAATTATTAAGATAATACGTAGATTTATTTATTAAAATAAATAAATTCTTTTTAACTTCCCGTAGGACAAGTTATAGTAATCGCAAAAAAAACGAAAATTAAAATTTTTATATATCTTTACGTTTCAACACCTTCTGAACATTTTGGCATACCTTAGAAAAAATGGATGTATATGTGTGTGTGTGTGTGTTCGGATACAAATTTTCGTCGACGATTTCGGAAACACGCATGAAGTGGTTTGAATAATTAAAAAAACATTCGATTCGTATTGATAAGGAGACGTGTTGATTAGTTTTTGGCAAAGGCAGGTCTATCCGTTCCGAAGATATGGGGTAAAAAGTGCCAAAAAAGGTAACTCAGTTTTTAAGATAACGGAGCGTCCGATTTGAATAATTCAAAAAACATTTTACAATCAAAGGGTAGGTCTAGCGGTTTCAGAGTTCTATTAAAAAAAGTAAAAAAAAATGCCATTTGGCGGTCAAAAATGATCATTAGACATATGCACATCAAATTATTAGATATTTTATAGAGATTTTAACAATAAGTATAAATTTTGTTTACATTCCTATGGGTTCCGTACCAGTGTTTATCTGTTTGACGGCTACAAGGCGCTTACGCGCTTTGACATTTTGTCTCTATGAAGTTAAAGCAGGACGATTGCTTTAAAAAAATTCAGAAAAAAGTAATTTTTTATCAAATTCATAGTTTTTCAAAAATCTAGTTTTTTCGAAGTAAAATTTTTTCAAAAATGTTAATCGTTTTTAAAAAAAATAACAATATTTAGTACAGGAAGTTTCAGCAACTTGCCTTAAGGCTAAAAGCCCATGCGCCCTATTAGTTTAATACAATAAATAAATTATTTTTCAGTATAAAAATTGCAAAAAGGAGTCAACGCTGCTTCTGTGGTATTTTTTGAGAATCGATAGATCTCACGAAATTACGAAATTGAATACAATCAATATTTCAATATACTTTTCTAGAATCTAGAAGATAAGAATGCATCACTTGTGCATATAATCGACACATAGGTACTGTGTACTGATTTGTTTCCCAAGAAGCATCAGACCCCGCTTGAACACAAAACGAAACTAGTATATATAGTCATCGTCTTAGCTGATTTGCACCGCGCGAGCTACCTGCGTACGTCCCAGCTGCTACCTGTCGGGTCAATAATATAATAAATTTAGCCGGAACGCACTCCTATGATGCCATTTACGAACCTAAATGCATAACGTGTTACCTCGCGCTCGCAAATACTGCCAGAATGATCACTATATATACAAGTTCGTTTCTCTTACTAGCGGGGTCTGGTGCTTCTTGGGAAAACAATGATTCAGCACAGCGTAAAGCTTAAACAATGTGAAGTTAATGAAGATCGAAAGATCAATAAACCGAGAATTCATTCTCAAAAATACCACAGAAGCAAGGTTGACCCTTTTGCTTTAATAATAATATTTAAGAATAATATTTTAGATTAATATAGTATATCGCGCCGATTGGCGTCTAATAAATTAAAAAATAATATATGATAAATTATTTGATTATATTTTGAAAATTAATATTTCTTTTCAACAAATAACGTGTTTTCGTCTATTACATTCTTTTCTCATCAAAATAAAAGAAGTTCAATCATTCTAGTAAAAAAAAATATAGTACTGGTGGTGTATGGCATCGTGCCTTAAGGCAAATTGCTGGAACTTCCCGTACCGTAACGAAATGTTCGAGGAATATTAAATGTTTTCAAATAGATTATTAAAAATACTGTAACATTGTATAATATTTATAACAATGATATAAACTGAATCACAAAATCAAAAATATTTATTTGAAGTATATAAGTGAAAGTATAAACTTTAGCCAGAATTAAAATTGAAATCTGAATTATTTTCGATATACAAAAAAAAATTGAAATGATTTTTTTTTTTCAAAAGCAATTGTTTTGTCACACAAGCAGAAATTTTTTGAATCATTTAATTCGGGAGCTTATTTCTCACAAAAACAGTCATTATTTGTATATTTGGCTCTGTATCTTCGAAATGGCTGGGCCTGCCTTTGCCAAAAATTAATAGCCATTTCTCCCAATCCCCCTTCCCAATCCCAATGGACCCTTCTTTTGTTTTTTAGAATAATATTTTAGAGTATATTACCGATTGGCTTCTAATAAATTAACAAATAATATATAATAAATTATATGACTATAACGTCATGTTTTGAAAATTAATATTTCTTTTGAACGAATAACGTGTTTTCGTCTATTACATTTTTTCTCATCAAAATAAAAGAAGTTCAATCATTCTACTAAAAAAAATATAGTACTAGCGGTGTATGGCATCGTGCCTTAAGGCAAATTGCTGGAACTTCCCGTACCGTAACGAAATGTTCGAGGAATATTAAATGTTTTCAAATAGATTATTATAAATACTGTAACATTGAATAATATTTATAAGAATTATATAAACTGAATCTCAAAGTCAAAAATTTTTATTTAAAGTATATAAGTGAAAGTATAAACTTTAGCCAGAATTAAATTTGAAATCTGAATTATTTTCGATATACAAAAAAAAAATTG